AGTAAAATTCAAGTAAAATTCAAGCAATTCATAATTAAAATATTTTAATTTTTGCTAAACGTTTTAAATTTTAGCTTTGAGAGAATAATTCAAATAAAACATTTTTGTTTGAGGTTGGACAATAAATGCAGCTGAAATAGAAAACTTTCGTTCCAAATGACAGAGTATAAACTTGTAGTAGTTGGAGGCAAGTTCACGTTGCTCATTTTATTTGGAATATTCTAACAATTCTATTTTTATAGCTGGTGGTGTTGGTAAAAGCGCTTTGACAATTCAGCTTATCCAGAACCAGTAAGAACTCTTTGATTTTGTTACCTCATCACCTAGTTTCGTCGAAGAATACGACCCTACAATTGGTTAATCCTCTCTTTTCTCACATCAAAATTTATAGAAGATTCATACAGGAAGCAAGTGGTTATCGATGGGGAAGTATGTATGCTAGACATACTAGATACTGCAGGACAGGAAGAATATAGGTAAAACAGACTTTCATTTTTATTAACTTCGCTTAAGTGCAATGAGAGACCAGTATATGAGGACGGGAGAAGGATTTCTTTGTGTTTTTGCTGTTAACAACGTTAAAAGCTTTGAAGATATAAGTCAATATCGGGAACAAATAAAGCGGGTTAAAGATGCCAATGAAGTTCCTATGGTCTGTAAGTAAACTCTATGCATTTATTAACATTTTAAGTGGTTGGAAATAAGGTAGATTTAGCCCATAGAAGCGTTCCCACAGTAAACGCTAAGATGTTTGCAGATGAATTTAAAATTCCGTATGTTGAAACCTCCGCAAAAACAAGGCAAGGTGTCGATGATGCATTCTACACACTTGTTAGAGAAATAAGAAATTACGTGAGTTTTTATAGCCGATTAAAAATTCGTTTTTTATTTTCTATTGCGTATCATGTATTGACAGCGTATATCATTATGTCTTATGTATGTCTATATTCATCCACTTCTTATTCTATCTTTTTAATAAATCCTAAAATGTTTTTGAGATCGCAATGCATATTTTTAATGTTGTTTCATGTCTTTAACATAATTGCAGACAACATGAGTGTATGTAGGCTTCATCATTTTCTGGTGGTGTTGCTCATTTATTCAAACCCTCCAAGTGCTATTGAATTGAAGGATGCAACCATTAATAAGCGATA